TTCGGCGGCTGCATTTCTGATGGAGGCGGAAATGTTGTAGGCCCGTGTGCTCAGATTTGGGCGCACGTTAAAGAACCCCAGAGGGTCAAAATTTCCGGAGCCCTCCACTACGACGTCTCTCATAATCATATGGTGGTTTTGGGACGTTAAACCCCACAAATCAATCAATAAAGCTCTTGTACCGAGCAGAATAAGAGAGAAGCGGTAAAGGTAGAAAAATATACTTTATCTAGAGCTAGGACGTAAACTTCTGAATAAACACTCATGCCTCGTTAATAGCTTGCATCAGACACCTAAAAGTGCTTTTTTGTAGCTGTGGCAACTGCTTGTGACATTTCGTGAAAGTGCGATGTAAACTGTAGGAAAAAATTCGCGCGAAAGTGGAACAGTAATTGTAGCCAGTATTTTTCTTTTCTTTTCTCAGTTCATGCCATCCGGAGTGAAGTTCTGTGGAACTACTACCATGTAACATTCTGCACTGTATGTGTAGTTGTGTGAATTTATTGCAGTTTTACTGTTCTGCGAGTCTTTTGATAATGTTACCTATATGTTTACTTCTGCTAAGTATTCTATAGTCATAATAAGGTAACTCTATACCCATGATAGGACAGTTATGTTGCGACGTATTGCAGTGCTGATGAGCCTATTCACTTCACGCCCACGTTCACCAAACATTAGGAAAGTGGTCACGTGCTTACCAATAGTATCACTTGAAAACAAACCTTTACGATCTTTCAACGATACTCTGTTTTATTTAGGATGTGTGCATAGCAGAGTGGCATCATGTGCTGGCCGCTCTGGTGGTGCAGCTACACGAAGCTAATAGATGCATGCAACAACAGTACAAAAAGCTATACCTTCGAGAAGAGCGCGCACATAGAAGTCTGTCTCAGAGGCTGTATAATCTAGCTAATCTCTAGAAGAAGTCTTCAAGATGATCTTTTCTGCACACTGACGTGATCTTTCGCTTACAGATGTCTGCCACATGCAGCACCATGGTTTTCCTACTAATACATAGATGTATTTGCACGTAACGTGAAAGAGCTCGCGCTACGGGACTATGTGAAGACTGACAGGTGAAGACAGCCTGACAGCGGCCAGTCATTACGAGCTGAATATTTTAAAGGTCTTATCCTTTAAACGTAGTCTTGCATTTACTTCCAACGCGCGAATGTACGTTGCCATAACTATACGTCACTGTCAAATACTGTTAACTACTACCTATTTTAACTGATTTCTTTCCTACAATCCTCGGGCTCTTTACGTTCTATTACAACTCAATACCCGAAGTACGTTATGGTTATTGTCAATTTTTTTCTTGAACTCAATAAATTGTTTTATTACTTATTTAAGTCAGATGCCAGAAGGCGCGCCGGTTGATTTTTACCTCCATCGTTTAAAAGCATGTTAATGCGAACGCCAACAGTCACTTTTTGCCTTTAGTGAGGCAGCGACAATTTTCCCGTTAATAAACATGTGCGTAGAGATAAATTTTATGTAACGGCTATATCAGTGACTCTAAAAATGACGCTTAGGTTGCTTCGTTCCATTATATTTATCTAGCGTCTCAAGCTTTAACAAAGAAAACACAGGGCACGTACTGGAACAGGGTGTTTCTAGCCTGAAGCTGTGGGATACGGCGGTGGCTGCACAGGTGGTGTCCTGCATTCAACCACGCAGTCATCTCGGCTGTTGGGAGTCCTGTTCTGATGAGCGAATGCTTCATCAGTCTCGCGGTCGATGACCAGAAGGGCCACATTGCCAGGATCCAGCTTGATACGGTTCACGACATCGCGATAGCTGGCACCCTCTACCGATTCGCCATTCACCTGCGCGTACAACGTGCTGACATACTTCAGTACAGGAAGCTTAACTAGTCAGTACAGCATCGTAAAGCAGCGCCAAAAAAAAAAAAAACGAGGACAAAGTTGGACACAGGATGTATTAGTAGGTAGAACCATGCTCTGCAGCACCCGTGTAGTCTTCTTCCTGTGCACTCGTATTTTGATCTTGTTTGTCTTTTACGCTCTTTTACATGCTTCAGAATCATGCTGCAGAAACAGCCACTTAATCAGAAACAGGTAGGGGTGGTAACAGGTAGATCGCCTTTGTAATATGACGCAAGATATGCGGGCACATGTTTCTTGAGATGCTTGAGATGTATATACTGCAGGCTGGCACTCAACTTTTGTACAAATATTGTGTCCAACTTGATACTTTCCATCCTTGTCTTAACGTACAGCCGACAGCACCTTTAACGCGAACACTTTGATGCGCTGCCAGGCCTTGTTTTATTGATGCCAGCTGCGAAGTGCTGGGCGTTTTTGCCGAGATAATATCTCGGTAGGCTTGTATAGCATGTCGGCATGTATGGTTAGCATATTAACAACAGAACCCAAACGCAGGTGGTGTCAGCGTCAATAAAAGTGCAGCGGGACACGTGGCGGAGCGTTCGTGTGAAAGGTACTCAGGACTGTAATACATTACGTTCGCCAATTTAGCAGCATTGAAATGGCATTTCATTAGAATGTTAGTCTTTACTCCTAAAATATAATAAGAAAAGGTTACCTCGACTATCCTGTCCCTTTTCCGCAGCCCGCCCAGATGAGCTGGGCTGCCGAGGTCGACGTGTGCAACGAACTGGCCATCTCGAAGCCTCTTGGCTTTCAAGGCGAATCCGTAGCCTTCGAAGTTTGGCCACTTGGACAAGTGGCAGAGACGAAGCCCATCCGCAGATTCCTGCAAGTTGGTGCAGGTGATGTTAAGTATGGTGAAACACGTATGACCTTCACGGTAGTTGTCCGTGTCAAGCCGTTTGCACTGCAGCTGTATACAGGTGACTCGAGCTGATTTTTCGTTTCGTTAAGGCAGTTGGAAGAAGCAACCTGAAAACAGCCAGCGCTAAATGATTATATTTATTATGAGAGTAACTTTCACCACTCTGTTACTAGTATTTTTGCGTAGTCGTTGCACTAAGAAAATGAACGAAGAAACAGTTTTGAATTTAGGTGTGTTTCTTGTACACACAGCACTTTTGGTGAGTGTTCGTGTAGGAGTTCTTGGATGTCGTCAAGGTTTCTGAGGAGGCCCCTGACGTCCATTGTATAATTGAGTGTTCATGGTGAATGTAAAATAATGCTGTGTGTACGAAAGCGAGTGGCTGTTTAGACGGGGAGTTTGAGTTCACTTAACCAGGGCCGTCATCAGGCCCTGTTATTTGCTTTTTTGTTATCTTGGCGCGCTCCAAGGAGCCACGCCTCTGTTTCGGCACCAGGGTGCCGACGTATCCATTGCCTCCTCGGGAGGCACTGGGTGCCCGCACATGCGAGCTGTGGTTCGGAGTTTAGGCCTCGCCTGGTGAGGGGAGGCCTTGAGACCCGAAGACCCTGGAGTCTCCGGCCTCAATTCGCTAGGAGGCGGAGTAGACTGAACTACTGCCGCCTTGGGGGCAGGTGCCACAGCCGCCGGCTCGCTCTGCGCTGGCCGAAGGAGTGGCGAGGGCTGGTGCGGCGTTGCCCCCTGACGCGCCGCATCAGCATATGTAGCGCCATAAAATGGCGACACTCTTCGTCTTGCTTCCTTAAATGTGATGTTTTCTTTGACTTTAAGAGTGATTATTTCTTTTTCTTTCTTCCAGTTAGGGCACGAACGCGAATACGCGGCGTGTTCTCCGTCACAATTCACGCAGTGAGGCGTAGTAACACAGTTATCAGATGGGTGGCCGTGGCTACCACATCTTGCACATGTTTCCTGACCCCGGCAGTTCTGCGAGCCATGACCAAATCGTTGACATTTATAACACCGTCTTGGATTGGGAATGTAGGGACGGACAGAGAGTTTGATGTATCCTGTGTCTATAGATGAAGGCAGTGTGCTAGATGCGAAGGTGAGTATTAAATGTTTGGTAGGTATTTCTTTGTTGTCTCGTCTGATGACGATTCGTTTCACATCTGTGACATTTTGCTCTTTCCACCCTTCAAGCAGTTCCTGTTCAGACATTTCAAGAAGGTCTGCTTCTGAAACAACTCCGCGTGAGGTGTTCATTGATCTATGGGGTGAAATAGACACTGGGATATTACCGAATGCTATGAGGCTGCCAAGTTTTTCATATTGGTGTTTTTCAGGTAGCTCAAGGAGAAGGTCTCCGCTAGCCATCTTTGTAACCTTGTATCCTGGGCCAAAGACCTCTGTCAGAGATTTAGCAACAAGAAATGGAGATATTGCTCTGGCTTGTTTTGTTGGGTTTTCGCTGTGCACAACATGGAATTTGGGAAAGCATTGTCTGGGTTTGCTGAAAAATGATATGTCATCGGTGCGTCCCCTCTTAGGCGGGAGACGATCTAGGAGACGGGGAAATGCAGGTGTTCCCATAGTAGTGTACTTTTTGTTCGGCAGCAATGGCGACCACCCACCATGGAGTCCAACCAGGGGACGCTGAAGCACTTAATAGCATAAGGCTGCAGACGCCAGCCGTACATTGCCACTATAACCAAATATAACTACTCAAGGTTGAGTAATTACACAAGGTTAACCCTTGCCGCCATGAAAAATCGGAAGTAAATGGAAGGGAGAAGAAGACAGGACAGATTTAAAGACGAGAAAAGACTAAGATGTAGGAAGAGCGAGATAGGAAAAGGCGACTGCCGATTTCCCCTGGGTGGGTCAGCCCAGGGGTGCCGTCTACGTGAAGCCGGGGCCAAAGAGGTGTGTTGCCTCTGCCGGGGGGCCTTAAAGGTCCAATCACCCAGCGTCGGCTCAACCCCCAGGATCCCCTTTTCCCCGGACACGGCAAAGCCACGCACGGCTAGGCGTGGGAGGGAGTAGAAACTCCCCCGTTAGCTCGGGTCCGTGGTGTCGCTACACACCAAACGCCTACTTGCGCAGGCGCCCCTGCGGGGGGTTTCCACTGCGCTACCGATGCTCATGTTCACAGACGTGCCCTTCACCTCTTACAAGTTTCCCCTTTCGCAATGAACATGCATGGCTGGTGTTAGCTGGTGTCGCCGTTTACGATCCTTGAGGAGAAGTTCTGGAAGCGTTACTTCTCATGAAACATCTTGGCGCCCAACGTCAGCTTGAAGCGGAACGCTTTCACGCATTCACGGCTTGAGCTACGAACTCTGCCTCGCATTCATAAAATCTTGCGGGGCATATGCATGAGCGGATGGGTTGGTTACACAATTTCTCAGGGGCGGAATCCTTCGCGCTTCCGTTGTCAAAATACGACTCTTTTAATGAGCGAAAGGAGAGTCCCAGTGTTATGTGGTTGCTGTTGCCACCTTTGTGCAGAATAGGGCGTACACTGTATTAAGGTGTGTACGCCTGCACATATATAGTTGTCATGTATTTTGTCTACTTCAGTTAGCAGGAAGGTGCAGTCATGATATTTGGCCCTGGTCGTTGGGGTGTATATGCTCCAAGGCGTGACCGTTATTTACCACAAATGGTCCAATAGCTGACAAAAGCCAATAGATACTGTGCACGTTCACATACATCACCGCATAGCGTTTTCAGCAATAAATTGTGCTCTTGTGACAGCATGGTTCGCTTTTATCTTATAGATACGCTCCTATGGTGGAGGCAACAACGATGTTTCTTTTTTTCTAGTCGCCGAAGCGCCGTAAAAAGAAAGTGGCAGCTGGTTCGGAGATGTTTGCTCGATGCACACAAGGCTTTTCTCATAACAAATGCCTGTAGAGTGGAACCGAATGTCTAGAAATATTCAAAATAGGTCAGAGTACTAACAGTAGGTGACATGGTTTCCGATGACCCGACGCTGATGGACGAGTATCCGCTGTTACTGGTGTTGTCCTTTCTCGGGGTGGGAATGGGACTGGCGCAGTTCAGGAACATGGACTGGGTGGCAGGAAGATGTGGTCGCCAATGACTTTTGGCCACGCCTTCCTTCACGACGAGGTCTTCTTCGCTGATAGCCTTGTCATGTTCAGCGTCATTAGCCGATTCAACGGCGTGTGGAATTACAAATCCCCCATTGCCTGCGGCTTCTACTTTGGGCGTCTGTAATTAAAAAAAAATAGGAATATATAGAAATGAAAGCCATAAATTAAATGCTACGAGGATAACTCATATGAGCCCGCTTGGTTAATATGTATCAAAAGGTGTTTCATGCCAACAGTCGGAACTTAAATAACGGGGCTCAGGACTGAAGCTCGTGACTTACGTACAGCTACTGTTATGTCTCAGTTAAACATAAATATAACTGATCACCATGGAATCATAATAACGACTTGCCATACCTGTTTTTTCGTTTTCATAAAAGTTAACCGAGGTCGTCGGGCTGGTGTCCAGCGCCTCAGGACACCGTCCGCCTGACCACTGGGCTTCTGCTGACGGCTCGCGAAGGCCTCGTCTGTCTCACGGTCGATGACCAGCAAGTTTACTTGGTCCGGCTCCTTGCCGATGCGGCACATTATTTCCTGGTAGCTCCTGTTTTCCACTGATACCGCGTTCACCTGCACAGTTGCAAAGTACATGGGTGCAAACAATAACCTCGCAATATGTTCAGCTCTGTATTATAGGACTAGCATTAGGACTTTGGTTCTGCTAAACGCTTGCGTTCCCACCTATTAGTTAGTGCATGCTTTAACGTGTTAAGCTCAAAGTTTGGCTAATATTTTAGATAACCCATGCACATCTTCGAACAAGCCTTACCTTTATCCAGCACATGTATTCTCCGTGTGTTATCTCTTACCGTGAAAGAAATCTCACTTGAAACACTGGCCGAGCGGGATACCTTCTAGGTAGAACAGGAGCGCAGTACAATTATTCCATGCAATGCTTTTTAATCCGGAGCATTCAAGGCTACTATTGCTGTTTGCGAGCTTATAGCTACGCCTATCTGTTCTCCAACAAGTTTCGTATTACTAGGCGTCTTTCTCTAAAACAGTGTTTTCATCAATACTATCCTTCACTGTACATCCACGCACTTTAGGCGCCTCACACGATTTACATAAAATTTTTTCCAAGACGATCTGGAGGTTTGCCACGGGAGGGAATCTGTACGTCGTGCAACGCGCGACAACATATACAGGAAAGCCAAAAAACACAGGTGGCGACCCGTGAAAGAAATCCACATGATCCCTTGTGTGCATACTTCGATGAGCCTGTCATCATTGCGAAGTCCACCAAGCTCGGCGGGGCTGTCGGGGACTACGGCCGTAATGAAGAAGTTCTCTTCGTCTTCTCGGAGACTGAAGCCGTACCCCTCATAGTCCGGCCACTTGCGCAGGTAGCACAATCGAAGACCCCCCGCAAGCTCCTGTGTATATTACGAAAGCTGGTGAAGTAAAAAAAAAAGAAATAGTGCTAGAAAATAAGATGTCGGTACACAACATTGTTTTAAATGCTAGGCATTTCTTGGTGAACCAGAGGCACTTGGGCTTTTTGTGGCATATTATCTGTCTATCTATCTCGCGCCGCTGTGGTGGTCTAGTGGCTAAGGTACTCGGCTGCTGACCGGCAGGTCACGGGATCAAATCCCGGTGCGGCGGCTGCATTTCCGATGGAGGCGGAAATGTTGTAGGCCCGTGCGCTCAGATTTTGGTGCACGTTAAAGAACCCCAGGTGGTCGAAATTTCCGGAGCCCTGCACTACGTCGTTTCTCATAATCATGTGGTAGTTCTGTGACAATAAACCACACATATCTATCTATCTATCTATCTATCTATCTATCTATCTATCTATCTATCTATCTATCTATCTATCTATCTATCTATCTATCTATCTATCTATCTATCTATCTATCTATCTATCTATCTATCTATCTATCTATCTATCTATCTATCTATCTATCTATCTATCTATCTATCTATCTATCTATCTATCTATCTATCTGTCTATCTATCTATCTATCTATCTGTCTTTCTTGACAGTTACTTTCAGTATTAAAACCCCTAGACCAGACCATATGCATATCATCACACCATGTTGTGCGCATCTTCGTGATAAACGCGACGTCCGCGCTTTAACATGAAAGCCAACGTGACGTTATACCAACATCTACTCTCAACATAACAGATCAATGTACCTGCTGTTTGAGCCCGCGATATACGCACAACTACTCAACCTATGCAATTCCATCTATACGCCTGCAAACACTTGGTTCAAAGAAACACAAATAAGGCATAAGCCGCTACTTGATCAATTGGTTGGTTGTTAACAGCTTTATTGGAATTCCGGCAGAGCTTTCACCAACCGGGCCTTAGGTCTCCCGCGTGGGGACGTCAAGACCTTGCGTGACCACCGCCTCGCGTGCCTGCTACTGGATCAATGCATTGCAGTAAATTACCTCTGCAATGTGCGAGAACTGATTATTTTTCATCTAAAAATGGTGTAGTAAAAACAAGAAAATATTTTCTAGACATGAGCTGAAAACAAACTTCATTCCTCAATTTCTCTCGTTCTAATCGTCTTATTTTATAAAGTAGTTTCTCTATCTTCACATTGAATAAACAATGTCAACAAGTGTGACAGGCGTCATTAGTGAAACTAAAAGGCCTTGCGATCCTTCAGCTGCTTCAAATATCAAAATCTATCTAGCGCACGTAATCAAGTTTTAACTAGGATCTCCGGGTTTTCAAATTCAGCTACGCCAAATCACATTAGCTCATATATTTATAAATTTAGAGAGAGGGAACAGCTGGCTACACTTACCTTTTTTGAGGCATGAAACGGGCTTGTACTTGTCGTAGTCTTTCAATTAGAGTAATATAAAGGTGCTTTTTCGAATTCAGCTACGCTAAATCACATCAGCTCATATATTTAATAATTTAAACAGAGGGAGAGGGAACAGCTGAGTACCATTACCTTCTATACCTTAATTTTGAGGTTTGAACCGTGCTTGCATTTGCCGTAGCCTTTCAATTAGAGTAAAAAGAGGTGGTTATGACACGCTTCCTCTGGCTTGGGAAGAACAAAAAATTAGTGTGTACAGTGAATAGTTGTGTTCACGTTAAAGTATACTGTTTTATTGCGAGGTGGATCTCGACCTAGAATTATGTCTTGCCACTTCCCTTTAATTGCGATAGCAAATATATAGACTCTCTCGGCTGGATTTTGCCGCCGGCGTCGACGTCGGCGTCCATGTCTTGCACCGTATATGCATGCTTATCTATATATATGAAAACGCAAGAAAGAAAAAAGTGCCGCCTTATCCACAAAGTAAATGATGATGAGTGGGCGGAGCTGCGGAGATAAACCTGGTAAACCATGATTCCTCCGAACACTTTGCCCACTCGATTTTATTACAACGCTCTCCCTAGCGTACGTTGCCGCACTAAATCGAACGTTTGCCTTCCACCAATGACACGTGCCATATGTTACATGATTCCTATTTAATAACATCTCACATCTTCCATCATCAACAACATGTACCGGCGTCTAGTTTATAACATTTTGCGTCTTTTCGTCAGCAGCTACAAGTACCGCCGTCTAGTGAACACTGCAAGAACTAAACGAGAGGTGGCTACATACAAGGGATGCACAGCTCACGCCTTAAGAAGCTTCGCCCCTAAAAATCCAGGAAAAAGCACTTCGGCACGCAGAATCGAGCGTGGGTCCTCTGCGCCATGAAAGCGAGGCGTTAACCACTGAGCCACCCCGGAGAACGTTCTGAACCATTCAAAACGGCAAGCAATTTATATCTACCACTTACCGCTGCTGTGTTTTCAGCATTACCAGAAAGATGGCGCAACGAACGCACGTCGCCACATCGTGCAGCGGGACCCACTCTAATCTCCTACGCGTACTTTGCCCGGCTTAGAGAAGGGGAGCTACGCTCCCTCGCGCGCCTTATCTCGCGGTGGTGGTGAGGGGAGGATCGTACGCCTTGGCTGGCCTCGGGCTTTACGTGGAACAATTCTGCTGTAGTTACCGGGCGCGCAAAGATCACTGCAATCATAGCAGTCTCCGTTCGCGAAAAGCGCGCGATTTTCAGACTGAGCGAAGTAACAAATGAGACGCTTATTCGCGTGCATCCGTAACTGTGAGTACGTTTCGCGCGTAATTTGTGCGCGAGAAACGCGGGGCGCGTTTCCATTCTGCGCGTGACTTTTCAAATTGTTGCTGCCGCGTTCATTGCTTTGCCTTTGCGGTACAGCTGTGACTTTTTTAATTTTGTCATTTCAAGGAATGTGTGCGAAGGTCTGCCTATCTGTCACAGATTTCCTTACCGCAAAGCTTCACAATGGACAGTTTGCAATAATCTGCAAAACGGCTTTCCTGAAAGGTTTTTTTTCAACCAAAAACTCTCGTGCACAGACTCCTTTTCTCGCTCATTGTGATGTAGTCGCGTGCTCGCGTGCCTCGCTGGAACTCGGAGAGATGACATTTTGTTGTACTTGCGTGCTCGCGTGCCTTCGCTGCACAATGAGCGAGAAAAGCAGTCTGCGAACGAGAGTTGTTGGTTGGAAAACAAGCCGTACAGGAAAGCCGACCTGCAGATTATCGCACACTGTCTATTCGTAGCTCGCAGAGTAGGCGGACATCATGTGTCCTTGATAACTTGATTCCATAGGCATTTATTAGTATTCGTTCAAGAAAAACATGCAGTACAATCAATTTTTTAAGAGAAAGCGCAATCTTTTATGAAGAAATACGGCTTATACGAGCGCTATTAAGCTAATAAAGGTTAATATACAACTGCGCAGTGTAAGCCTCTAGCCTGACTGCTCAGCCTCCTTTTGATTAAGCACTGTGCGTTTGCAGCGTCTTCTATAACACATGAATATACTGATGTTTTCTGGATTTATCGAAACGAAGCTTAGTAATTTTTAAAAAAATGGTTGTTTGGAGGTTGCTGTCTACATATAGTTTAGAAGTGTCCGTCTGTGAACGATATTTTAAATACAGAAGTCGATACGTGGTAGGATTGAGCACGAATCTGCAAGCGAAAAAAATGTGCGCAATTCGAACACTTATAATTTAACGCTGCAAGAACCTTATGTAGGTGTGCTCAAAAATTGATGACGGACGCTTCACCTACAGCTGCTGGAAAATTGCTTGGAAAACGTGGAAACGCTTTACAAGCACTCTACAATAGCGGAGCATCAAAGCCGTCTCTTGTTCGTATATAAGAGCCTGGATGACCTGCACACAACAGCAGGTTGACATTTAGTTGTTCTGATTGGTGTTTGTTTTAGCGCTTACCAAACGTTGCAGGCTCACGCGCCAACGGCCATGGTGTGGTTATGGGGCTCAACTGGTGACCTGAAGCTTGTTGGGATGAATATTGGGCATGCGAGGCGCATTTTCGGTAGAGGCGGGAAGGCTAGAGGCCGGTATCGAACTTAAGTGTACGTTGAAAAAAAATCTAGGCGGTCGAAGTTTTCAGAAACATCTGCTACGACGTCTTTTACAATCTTCTTGTGGTTTAGGAAAGCTGAACCGCAACAATGATTAGTAGCAGGTTAATGCACTACTTGGAGGCTTTTAAAAGGCCACATGAAACAGATATGCTTTCGCCTGCTGTAAGATCTACGAAAGTTCCATCATTAATTTGAATGATGATATTCTTGAAATTTACGTTTCAAAGCGAGCATTGAAAACCTCCGGCTCCATTTGTGTGACTCACTGTTCTTTGATTGACAGTCAGCGCTTTATTGGTCACTACGATTACCAGTCAGCGCACTTGAGGACATAAACTTGGCCGGTCAGACATGCAATGCTTACGCTTGATGTCAGGCTTCCTGATGACCTATTTATGCTCCCGGAGGTCGTTATGCCCTTCGAGCGAACCTTCCTCGATGACTTTTTGGAGCTCGTGCGAACGACGTTAAGGTTGTCGCCGCGGAGGGCGATGCCGCGCCTCCTGTACCAGGCAGCGGTTTCGTCGTCTACGACCAAGAGTCGAGCTTCGTTAGGTGTGGACTTGACCAGCTGCACCACATCTTCATGTCCAAGGCCCTCCAAAATCACCCCGTTTACCTGCATGGTAGATGCGTGGCACGAAACACAGGTGAACTCTAACGCATGAATTCACCGTAGGCAGTGTTACTCCACGAGCGTATAAGCTTTTGACATGTTCAGTCTTGATCTTTGTAAACCTTGTAGAAATCTTTATGAAAGGACATAGCACGGTACTTATTAACAGAATTTTTCTTTGCTTCTGGCTATTGTATACATTTTTTATTCATTTGAAAGTGGGATGTAAAAAATTAGCGTTGTCATAATTGAAATCAATAAACATCTTCAGGACTTCAGCACACAGAGTAAGAACACTAAGCAGCCAGGTGGTGGGAGGAACTCAAACCGGCCAACAAAAGAGCATGGGCAAGACATGTGCTTTTGGACACGCAATGACCTCTTCTCTTATTCAAAGCTGTTTACGTTTGCGTACTCTCGTTGAACAATATTATTAAATATGGCACCAGACGTTACCACTGACGAGGTTCAGGTGAAACATTTAGACACACGCTTTTGTGTGCTCCGTGGTAAAAATATTCCTTGAGTCTACATCTAACGTCGAGAAGGACAAAGTAGCGTCTCACCTCAACGACAGTGTCATTGGATCGCAGGCCAGCGGCCTCAGCTGGGCTTCCGGGTTCTATGGCTGACACCCGTGGAAGATAGCGCTGCTTGGCCGGAATCAGTTTAAAACCATAGCCGTCATACTCGGGCCTGCGAACTAAATGGCACAGGCGCGCCGCAGGAGGTTTGGCAAGTTGCGCCGTGATTCCGGAAGTGGAAGTTCCCGCTACAGTTGACGGCGACGACTGTTTTGGCGGCCTGAGCACACAAGCTGGTGGACTTCCCTTCAGAAAACGAGAAGTTCAATGATTCTTTATCCAGCCGTGGAAAAAATGAAATAAATGGTAATGTAGTTCATTATTCGCTCGTGAATTAGAGCTACCGGAAGCTCCTGAGAACTCGCGCACGCGCGCACATCACACACACACAGTCATGTGTGTGTGCGTGTGCGTGTGCGAAAGTGTTTTGTCAAGCCGAGTTGGATGCTATAGAAGTTAGCCGCTAGCCCTACCTAGTATAAAATAGAATTTGTAGGTGCAGCGTTCATTGTTGCAGGCTGTGTTTAGTTTGAAATTTTACAGCCCTAGAAATGAATTTTTTAGCTTTAAAGCTTTAATTCATTAGCTGGAAATATTACTAGGTTACTTAGTGAAAGGCTTGAACTGTATATGTAAAATGTTTTGCAAAGCTCTGGCATGGCGTGTTTCCATTTTAGTTGACTTCAGTGTTCATTCTACAAAAAAAAAATTTGCGTTTGCTGTTTATGAGTGGTGTTTCAGGGTGGTCGAATTCCACAATGCTGTCTAAAAACATTTGTATTGGCCACTGTAGTCACCCTACTGTTCACGCTTGTTGTATTAAGAGTCGATTTCACCGTTACGCAGTAGCTAGAGACACTCCACGCAACTGTTCTCTTCGACATTGCATAATGTATGAGCAGCGCTGTTCGCGTATTGTGTCACAATCACTTGCATTCCTTTTCCGTATTATGGAATTAAGCCATTATGTTTTAAGACACGGCAAAGTAGTCCATTTTCAATAACGAGACCCGGGTTGTCAGGCCGATCTTCAAGGGTGTCAACTTAACCTTTGTTTCACACTACACAGATTCTACAAGACATGTTGGTGACGAGATAAGCTACAAGCTTGCCAGACAAGGCTAATAAACACATTAATGCAGTTAGACCCACCAAAGTGCTGAAAGATAGTTGCGTAATTAGCGGAAAGCTTGCAATATTGCCGCCAATTACATTTTTCATTGCACCATGTCATGGCGTCATACTGCATCCAGATAACTAAGGTAGAACACCACTCAGTTAACCATGCCCTTGTTACTAAGCCATAAGAAGAAAACTGCTTACATGGGCGGACGAAGTGTCCATTGTCCCGCATATATACGGCTTAGTTCACGTAGTCCCAAGTGATACGCCTTCTTCCACAGGATAGAACCCAAGAATCGAGACCTCACTCGTGCCCCCACGCTTCTTTTTCTTCCTGAGTGCGCGCCTATTATGCACATGCAGTGGCTGTGTTGGTGATGTCGATGGGAGTTTTGGAGCAGTTTGAAGCATTAAGAATTTCAGTGCTCGGGGCTATATGATCTTTACATGCCTCTGAACGCGTAGCCGAAGCCGCTTGCTTCTCTGATTATCTGTCTTCACACTAGTGAAACACTTGGGCTGATAACTTATATAAATTTAAATATAATTTTAAAAGCGGAGGTTTTTTGGGCATAGTTTGTGGGTCTGAAACAGAATGCTATTATTGTTATGAACTAGCATGTGCTCTTCTCGTTCTGTTCTTCATCGTCGTGATCTTCTTCTACTGCTTAGCTCCCAGAACACGTGCACCGATTTCTTCAGCACGGGATGCAATCACTCTCTTGGGCGAAACAACCAGTACAGAGGGAGAAAGAGAAAAGATGGCAATGAAGACAAAGAAAAGAAGACATTCTGGGGGCTGAATTCTGTGTGGAACGAGATTCGAAGAAAGGTTGTGAAAAAACACTGAAAAAAAAAATCACAACATATCCACGGAGTGAATGATGATGAGTGGTGCGAAGCGTCATCAGCCCGTCCGTGCTTCCGTCCGTCCGTTCTTTCTTGCTTCCATCCGCCTACGCGTAAATGCATGTGTCCATCCGTCTGTCCTTGCGTCCATCCATGCGTCGATCTAGTAAACACTCCAAGAACCGCCATCTCTCATCTCGCAACCCCTGTGGCAAATACCCGCTCTAGAGCGGGTATGTGTCACCACTATACATACATACATACATACATACATACATACATACATACATACATACATACATACATACATACATACATACATACATACATACATACATACATACATACATACATACATACATACGGAGGAGCGACACGACCCACGCCATAAGACGCTTCGCCTCTAAAAAATTCACCTCTCTGCGAATCCGCTGCTTTGGGTATGAGCCATGGGAAGAGGAGAAGCAGAAAAAGAACGAGATCGACCATGTGATCTCCTCTAGTTGATCACTCATTTCTTGGCCTGTCTCCCAGAGTGGGTGTGAGCGGTGCTTTTAGATCATCATCATCATCATCATCATCATCATCATCATCATCATCATCATCATCGTCGTCTTCGAGCCCACACGGACCCATGATCTATAGGCGAGCGTCTGAAACCATTGGATATCAGGCACGCTGGTAGAGCACAGAATAGGCGTGTATAGATTTGTATTCCGTTCATTGGTCTTTATTGTGCTCTACGGAACTCGTACATCAGTTTTGTGTCATTCATCCATATTCCGATATATTAAGCTTAGCCTATGTGAGTCTGTGCTTTTTTTGATCTTGTCTGCTGTTCTCTGTTGTACTCGTGGTAGACCTAACAAGGAGTGGATAAACACGCCTTCTGCTCCAGCACCATGACGACGCATGTCTCACGCATTACCAGATCTGGCAAATAAACCTCAAACGTTCGAATAGCGAGGAGAAGGGAGAGTTAGAGTGAGGAGCCAGGAAGAGAGCAAAGCATAAAATATAAAGGCGAAATACACAAATAGCGAGAAGTGACAGCCGAAAGAACTAGAGAGAAAGACAGAAACAAATAGGAAGCGAGAGAAAGAGACAGAAAGGGACAGAATTGATATGTAGGGTTTAACGCCCCCAAACCACCATATGATTATGAGAGACGTCGAAGTGGTGGGCTCCGGAAATTTTGACCACGAGGGGTTCTTTAACATGCACCCAAATCTGAGCACACGGGCCTACAACATTTCCGCCTCCATCAGAAATGCAGCCGCCGCTGCCGGGATTCGATCCCGCGACCTGCTGGTGAGCAGCCGAGTATTTTAGCCACTAGACCACCGCGGCGGGGAAGGAAGGGATAGAAGGCAGGACATAGAGAAAAAGAAAGAAACAAAGATAAACAAAGGCAAGAAAGACGCAAAGGAAAACAGAGATAAGAAAAAAAATGGCAGCTTATCCACGGAGTGAATGATGGAGAGTGGGGCGAAGCATCCGTCCATCCATTCGTTCTTGCTTCCGTCCGTCCATGCGTTTGTCTGTGTGACCATCCGTGTGTCCTTTCGCCCGTCCGTGCGTGCGTCTGTTCGTGCGTCCGCACGTCCGTGTGTGCGTCCGTCCCTGCGTTCGTCCATGCATCCGCCTCTGCATCCGTGCATACGTCCATTCGTCGCTACAGCCATCCGTGAGTCCGTACATGCATCTGTCTGTGTGTCCGTTCGTCCATCTATTCAACACTCAAAGTACCACCATCTCGCATTTTTTCATCATATATTCCCGATATAGAAGCACCGCCATCCAGCGGACATTCCAAGGACTAAACACTTTCTTACGGCTTGCGCTTCGTGTCTACTTCCCACCGTTCATCACCTCGACTTCATGGTATATACTAGTTCACTGTATTCATGGCACTGCGGCCCAACGCTCGCAAAATCTTTCTAAAACCAAGGAGGTTACGGCCAGCGGCTATAACGTAGCAACCCTTTCTTGTTAGATAGTGCTCAGCTTACATGCAAATGGCTGCTAATGGTAAATGAGAGACAGGAGAATTCAGCTTTTACTTTCTTATGGCTTGCGCTTCGTACCTACTTCCCACCTTTAACCACCTCGACTTTATGGCATATACTACTTCACTGTATTTATGGCACGGCGGCTCAACGCTCGCTAAACCTTTCTAAAACAAAGGAGGTTACGCCCGGCTAGTACAACGTAGCAACCCTTTCTTGTCAGATTGTGCTCAAGGTACATGCTAATGGCTGCTAATGCGGAATGAGAGACAGGAGAATTCGGCTTTTACTGTGTTATGGCTTGCGCTTCGTACCTACTTCCCACCTTAACCACCTCGACTTCATGCTATATACTAGTTCACTGTATTCATGGCACTGTGGCCCAATGCTCGCTAAACCTTTCTAAAACCAAAGAGGTTACGCCCGGCGAGTATAACGTAGCAACCCTTTCTTGTCAGATATTGCTCAATGTACATGCCAATGGCTGCTAATGAGAATTGCAGCGTGCGCATTAACTAAAAGCCGAATGCTCCTGTCTCTCATTTCTCATTAGCAGCCGTTGGCTTGTACATTGAGCACTAGTTTTTATTAATTGTTCAACAACGCACAGAAGAAATCTCTCACCGGCATTACCTTGGTGGTCAAAATGTTATAATTGTTACATACTGCAACGGCTACGAGGGAGGAACGGGTTCCGCTATAAAAAGCTTCGCCCCTAAAATACCGATATCACCGAACAATTTTGAGGATGCCAACACACGGGCAAGTGATTTCTGTGATGTGTATGTTAACGTTTCTAAATGAATAGCCTTCATTACATCGAAAGCATCGGTTGTTGACCGGCATCTCCTTCATATGTGGGAAAGTAGACGCAGCCCAAACGATGGAAGTGCCAGTGCCTCAATTGTAAACTGCGTCTCAAAATAGCAAAAGCTTCGGAGCAAACCAACCAAGAATCTCCCGGTGAATTTCGACGCACTACCTCAACCACTTGTGCTGCTGCCACACTTTTGATGCTACAACGGTGCCACCAAGTTGTCAGAAACGAAATAGCCGGCTCGTTCAACTAGACACTTTTCCCACATTGCCACACTTCTACCACACTTCTTCTACGGCCGCGCGGTGTTCTGGGATTGTTTGAAAAATGGTGTGTTCCTAAAGAATCGGACGTGTTGCCCAAAAATTGTCACTTCAGGATCTATTTGACCATTTTTATATCTTCACTATGGTCACCACACGTTCCTCGGTGACATAGTCTGCATGGGTTTGGTTATGTGTCGAATAAAAAAGAACCCGCCCTTGACGCATCGCCTTTTTTGTTTTCTGTATTGTAGCATTTAGCATTTTATCTGGATATTTTCTGATAACACTAGCATTGTACCACCGGCTTGAGCTCGATGCCTGTCCCAAACACCTCCATGCGTTGCAGCCACCAGCGATTGCAATTTTTCATGTAGTACAGCTGCGGCCACGTATAGAGCGCGCCAGTAGCAGGTTTTTGCTTTGCGGGGCGACACGTTGATGCAGTTTCGGGGTCTGATGTGGTGTGTCAGGAGCGTGCGCAGCCTAGTAGATAGGGCGACCACGTCAGAGGCGAAAACTGCCTCAAGGTGTCGCGGCGCGGAGAAAAAAAATCAACCGCTTCCACGCTCTACACACACGTGGCTGCGGCTGTACGTATGTAATTTCATACTATTTCAATCAATTGAATTTACGCGTGGGTAAGAGAAAAGTTGTATTCGCTAAACTTATTATAATGAACGAATCTTTGACGCGGTTTCGAATGTTATTTTTCATTGCGCATGGGAATCCTTCAAGGTTAACTGAACCCCAACCACGCCATCAATAACACGTCGTCAGTGATTCTGTGCTCCTTATTTTCTGGAGCAGCCAAGTGTCATTTTGTGGACTAACCCGAACACCATGCGCTGCATTACAGGACACTAAACCACGATCAGATGCAGTTCGCTGCGGCAAGGTTGCCGCTATTTTACACGTGACTTTTTGGCACAGTGCGCGTATAGAGAGGACATCGTAGAGGAGTATACGCATACACACGTCCTCAGGGAACAGCAGCAGCAGTAGGAGTTATTGGCAGCCGCACGCCAGTACCTGATACCGAAATCATTCGTTGTGCCACATATAGCCTGTAACAGCACTGCTTGCATGTCACACATTTACAGATTATACGGAAACAAAGAAAAAAAATTGTGGTGTCTCGTTTTTTTTTTGTACGCGATCGTACATATCGAATTTTCTGAGGTATGAACGGAAGAAAACAGCCGTTATGTAGGCTTTTCCGATCACACTTATGCGACGTCACTGTGGTAAAGTTTCTTTCCGGCGCATTCGCATGACTTGCAGCGGTGGGCTACAACTTTGTAGGGACTAGTATGCTTGTAGCACTAGACTGGACACCCTCCGTGTGGCAGAGTGCCTTTTTGGCGACCTCCGCGCGATGAAGCTCAATGGTCTCACACTAGTCTCCCACATAGTGCTCTTGAGGGACGCGGTATTCGCCTAGCCCGAGTAGGGCTTTACCCTAATGCTGACGCTCTTGTGGGCCACCAGCGTGACTTTATTTATTTGTACCTAAAAGTCTCGAAACCGTTTTCACTGTAGTCTATTTATTAGTACCTCTACGCGCTATCAGGAAGTGTTACACAACGAGTGCGTAAATTAGTCGATGATGGTATGGAAGGGTGTCTTCAAAGATGTACGGCTGGAGTGTTGCACAACGTTGGCACGAAGACAATGCAAGTACTGTACGGTCTAAACAAAGTATTATTTCATGTAAGCGGTAGTGCGGGCTGCTGGAGGATAAACTACCTTTTGGGTGACCATGGCAGAATAAAGTGCTAAGCTAGAGTTCGATGTCAGTCAGGCTGATGGCGTAGAAGGTGTTAGAACTTACGAAGAAGGCACAATCTCGGATTATTTGACCCTGCTCAAGAGTTTGAAGATCAAAGCTTGACATAGGTTTGGTGACATTTGTGTGATGAAAGTAGCCCGAATGAACAAATGTAACTAATATTCATGCATGCCCTGCGCGGCCCCCATTTGACACCTGCAACACCGCAACCATGGTCCCGGCAACTCACCTGCGACACCTTTTTGTACTGCAGGCGCTGTTATGGTCTCGTGCTATCCCACGCGACGACGTGCGGCCATGTCACCCACCGGAGGCCCTCCCGCTCCCGGTATGGATGCGCACTGCACGTAGCCCGACCTCACCTGCTCAACCTCATCACCAACTAACACAGGATACCTCAAGTTTTCCGCATCAGCGCCCACTGCACGAACCAGTGCACTGGATATCGCCACCAGCTCACGTGGCCGCAACAACTGCTGATCTTTGGATTACGTCCTCCTCGCCATCGGAACGCATAATATTCATGCAGGCCCTGCGCGGTCCCCATCGGGCTTGGCAACACCGCAACCGTGGTCACGGCAACTTACCTGCGACACCTTTTCGTATTGCAGGTAAAAATCAATATTCATTGTATCCACGTCGCCCTCGTTATGCGGCGCCCAAAGTGCTGTTTAGAAATTGCAGTCAATTGTGCACATGTCATCAAACAGATATTAGCGCTGTCAGGTGACATGGGACTAAACACAAGTCCTACCACTCGTTCTGGTGAGACGCAAGCATCCGGTTACTCATTCCTGGTTCTTAAAGAACTCCAGTCTGGTCAAGCTTCCATGCTGCGAGAACTAAAATGCATTCAGTAGAAGGTATCCCAGAACGACCAGGCAATTAGAGAGATTAATAAAAGGCTCACTAAAATAGAAAGTGATTACGAATCAATAATGGGCATAAAAGAGAAAATCGACGATATCTAGTTACTTTCTGATAAAAATGCGAAAGATATAGCAACAATCAGGGTGAGATTAGACGACTCGGAAGACTGAGCGCACCATTCTAACCTCGTATTTTTTGGTTTTCCGGATCGCGAGCGTAAAACATGGGCAGAATCTGAGGCTTCAGTGCTGCGATTCTGCAGCAAAGAACTAAACACCACTATTGAACATATGGAAATCGAGAGAGCCCATAGACTCGGGAAATACAATTTAAACACAAGCCACCCAATCAACGTTAGATTTGCTCAATTTAAGACTGAAGATAAAGTTCTGTCGCGCGCCTATAAACTGAAGGGTTCCAATTACCGAATATCTGAAGATTTCTCCCCCAACACACTACAAGCAAGGAAACATCTTGCTGAAGTCAGAAGAGCTCAACGGCAATCGTTCAGACTTCGACATGACAAGTTAATTGTTGGTAAGAATACTTACACGTGCGACCACAACGCACAAAAGGTACAGCGCCCTTTAAACGCTTAAGCCCCAACCATGCCCCTCCGCGAAAAAAGTCCTTTTCGTTTTTATATACCAACATTAGAAGCATCCTTCCTAAAGCCGACACTCTTCAAAGCCTAATTATTACAACGGAGTCCGATTTGTTCGCGATTACAGAGACATGGCTTAACCCTTCTATTACCGACACTAAGTTGCTACAGCTTTTTCCAAATTTCGATGTGTTTCGACGTGATCGTACTAATAAACGGGGTGGCGGCGTACTAATAGGTAGCCATAAAGATCTTCAGTGTATCGAAATTAAGGCGTCATCGTGCTTATAAATGATGTTTATTCCTTGTAATGCTTCGCATCCCCCCACAATAATCGGGGTTTGCTATCGTTCCCCTGGTAGTGACCCCCTTTTTGTATCTGAATTCCACGGGGCTGTTCGCCCTTAACTGAATCTTATCAAAATTTTCCGATACTGCTTTTCAGCGACTTCAATTTCTCAGTAATACCTTGGACTAACCTAGCATGTGTTACTTTAAAAAACAGTATAGAGAGCAATTTTGTCAATTCATGTCTAACGTTTGGACTTGCGCAATTAGTCGATGAACCTACGCGCGACAGTGATAACTCCCTTCATATTCTTGACCTTGTTCTCACTTCTGAGCCTGAAAGAGTGTCCCAGATGACGTTCCTACCAGGACTCAGTGACCACTTAGTACTCCATGCGTCCTATTCTTGTAAACTACATCATTCAACAAAAACAAGAAAAAATATACCAATGTATGATAAAGGCAATTATTCCGCTATAAACTCAGATCTCGAGCAATTCGCTGCTTTCTTTCTTATCGACCTTTCAGAGCGTTCGGTCGAAGTTAATTGGCTGCTATTCAAAAACAAAATGTTAGATCTATTCACCAAGCATGTGCCCACGATTACCGTAAAGGAGAAAAAGTCATCCCCGTGTTTTAACATCACATTAAAACGCCTAAATAACAAAAAGAAATGACTCTTTCGATTGGCAAAGCGGTCCAATGGCGCATGTGCGTGGAACAGGTACTACGCTGCAGAAGAAGAACTCGATAAAGTTGCTAACAAAGAAAAACGTTTATTTTTTTCACAAACGTTGCCCGCTATGTTAAGCAACAACCCCGAAAGATTCTGGCGCACAATTAACCCCAGTATCTTCCAACCTTTAGTACTGCACAACGGTCAAAATCATCTGATTCCCGATAACGAGGCCGCCGAACAACTTAACAGCTTTTTTTCTTCCGTGTTTACCGTTGAAACTGTCGACAACATGCCTTCATTTCTTAATCTCAAGCATGGTGAGATGCCGGACATCACATTCTGCTCAAACGGCATCGCAAAATTAATCGACTCACTGAAACTCACATCTTCATGCGGCATCCATAGTATCAACGCGAAACTGCTCAAAAACACGAAATAAATTGCTAGTACACTACTCTGTCACATTTTTCAGCAGTCACTACCATCAGGAGTGATGCCGGAAAATTGGAGAGTGGGCAAGATTGTTCCAGTGCCTAAAAAAGGTCCTTTATCTCTTTGCAGCAGTTATCGCCCCATTTCCCTTACTAGCGTTTGCTCCAAACTAATGGAGCATGTGATTTACTCCGACATCGTCAAGTTCTTAGTAAGCAATAACTATTTTCATTCCAGTCAGCACGGCTTTCGCTCAGGATTTTCATGTGACACACAACTAGCTTTATTTTATCATGATATCAGTTCCAGCCTTGACATAAATATACCTGTTGACGCCCTCTTCTTAGACTTTGAAAAAGCATTCGACAAAGTCCCGCATCAACGGCTGCTACTAAAGCTTTCTCATCTAAACAATAATACAAGTGTATTTAATTGGATTCGCAGTTTCCTTACCAATCGCCAACAATTCGCGCATGCTAACTCCGTCTCATCTAACCGTTCCTCTGTAATCTCTGGTGGGCCACAAGGTATACAGTACTCGGACCATTACTTTTTCTCATTTACATCAATGACCTTCCATCAAACATCTCTTCAAGCATTCGCCTCTTTGCAGACGACTGCGTCGTATACCGTCCTATAGCAAACAGCGCAGAAAATACTACACTTCAAAATGACCTCAATCTAATTGTATCCTGGTGTGATAAGTGGTTAATGTCTTTAAAGATAAAGAAAACTTCATTGGTATCTTTTCATCGCAGGCGCTGTGGCGGCTGCATTTCCGATGGAGGCGGAAATGTTGTGGGCCCGTGTACTCAGATTTGGGTGCACGTTAAAGAATCCCAGGTAGTCGAAATTTCCGGAGTCCACCACTACGGCGTCTCTCATAATCAAATAGTGGTTTTGGGACGTTAAACCCCACAAATCAATCAAATAATTTTCATCGCAGACCCCATCACCAGTCAGCAGAATACACCATTTCCGGCACTGCAGTCTCACCCGCTGAATAATACAAATATCTTGGTGTCACATTTTCAAGTAACATTTCCTGGTCAGCCCAAGTGACTAACATAGCCAACTCCACGAATCGCACTCTGGGTTTTCTACGTAGGCACTTAAAACTTGCGCCCCCATCAGTTAAACTGATATCGTATGCCAAACTTGTTCGTCCAAAATTAGAGTATGCATGTTCTGTCTGGGATCCCCACCAATCCCACTTTTCCAACATTCTCGAATCGATTCAAAACCGTGCTGCGCATTTTATCCACTCTGAGTATACCTACAATTCCAGTGTTTCCAAATCTAAAACTCGTGCTCACCTTTCTAATCTAGAATCACGACATCACATATCTCGACTATGCTTTTTTTCACATATTTTATCATGTCCCCATCGAAGTTCCAGCCATCCTGCCAGTCCATCGCTCATCAAGCCGCACAAACCATTCAAGCGCAGTGTATCTCCACCAGCCCAAAGCACCGCACATCTTCGCTCCTTTTTTGTGACAACCGCACGGGACTGGAATCGTCTGCCTGCAACTACCGTGCACCACTCTGACCCGCATCAATTCAAGATTGCCCTCGAATCACTTTTTTATTCTGTAATTAATACCCATCCCTCATGTAATACCCCAGTTGGGGCCTTTGAGGTATTCAAAATAAATAAATAAATAAATAAATAAATAAATAAATAAATAAACTGCGCGATTTGGTACGGATTCCACAGTGGTTGAGAGGTTAGCGTGATGTGAATCCCGAACTGAGCATACATATTCGAGCTTTGGTAGAAGTAATAAGCATGCTAGTAGTTTTACCGGAGGATGTGCAGGTTACGATGGTGCAGGTTACGATGCAAATAGCCAAAGAAGCAATCAGCTGTATCACAGATGCTTGACATGTGAACAAACCAAGTAACGTTACGGCACACCAATGCAGGTGTATATTTACATTGCTCGTATTCTCGAGCCAGTTATCACGTATTTAGTGGAAACGAACGATTGAGGACAATAGAAAGCTTGAAGGGATCTTTTACTCACGTTTACAGATATTAGTTGCTTGTTAAAGTAAGCCTATGAGAGAAAGGTTGAACTGCAGGTCTACGATGCCTGCGTGCTTGAGCCTGGCATGGTAAAATGCATGTTCATTGGCCAATGTTCAAATCTTAGAAATTCTCAAAGTTCCACGAGGCGCGCCTGAGACTAGAGGCTATATGAGAAATGGGTGATGACTGATAGTATCGAAAAGTCGCAGAGCCATTCGTAAACAACAGGGTCGAAATTTATTCACGAGACTTGTGGGAGAACCCGTGTATGAGGAATTATTTTAAATGCCTCTTGGAAGTGATGGAAGAGGGTATGAACCGGTATGTTTTTATCGAGGTGAGATGATATGTCATTGATATTGAGAACAAGTTTAATGTCGTAGAACGCGTTTTTTTGAAAATCCTGCTCATTTCGACCGCAGAAATAAGAAGCTCTATTTGTTTAGAACAAACACAGGGGAGGGAAACAAGACGGTACTTATTGAATGAAATTATGAATTCTATAGGTACGGGGATTATCTTGCGCACTTTTCAATCTTGCGACGCCATATTAGATTGCAGAGAGTGCCTAAAGACGTCCCATTAAAAAAAAAAAAACGCCAGGCCTGCGTGGAAGGCGCAGCACAGTGACAGCGAAAGCTATAAGAGCAGCTTTTCAGAGCCTCTTCTAAACACTCATTGGGTAACTGCTGCAAGCACACTTGCTTGATACCCACTATAG